AACTCTCTTATCTATTATTTTGCTGCAAATTCTAAACCAGGGTGAGTAGACTCAGCTCTGTAGACACCAGCAAATGATCTTTTACCGAGCAAATTTTCAACTTTCAAAACTCTATTCTTCTCTCCCGTGCAAGTCATCATATTCCAGGTACCAGCTGAGTCCCCATCAGGCTCAGCTCCCATAGCCACAGCTCTTCTGGCAAAAGCACAGCCACCAAAGGGCTTCAGGGCATCTTCCAGATCAGTGTTATGCCTCTGTGCTCCTGTTTTGAAAAGTTTGGGCTGGTTGCTGCACACAGCAGTAATGGGAACAAATATAGGTCTTTTTACCACCCTACCTCCACTACTCTTTTATTACCACAACATAAGAAAAAGTCATGCAGGAGTTGGGAATTTGGGAGAGAGCCCATCCAGTCAAATGCTTAATACTTTGATTGTTTAAGTAAAAAGGAGCAGAATTTACTTGTTTGTAAGGAAAGTCTTTCCTCAAGGAAGGTTGTACTGTGTTGTGGTTTCAAGGCAAGTTAATAAAAAGCTAAGAAAATTCCTTGGCAAGTAGAATAAGGAAACTGAGACAGATATCTGGGGGAAAAAAACACTGGCCAAACAATTCACGGCCAGGTCCAGATGGTTACCATGGCTGAAGTTCCCATGTCTGATGGGGGGCAAAACTGGGAAAACGAGAGCCTCGCCCACAGGATAACTTCTCCTTTCCTGGCCCTTCCTCCCTGGAGAGAACATCTGGACCTCAGTTTTATGTCAGCTTCAGGCTCAGAACAGTGGCAAAACCAGACAAGTGGCACCACAGCTGACTTCAGGACCTGCTGTATTGAATGATGACCCCCTTTTCTGGTACCAACCCACCAGTCAGTGGAAGCCACTATCCAAGAGGTCATTTCTTTCCTATTGTTACAAAGCAGCAAGTGAAATCCTGCTGCCCACCACCACCTACTAGGCAAAATTCTGGAGGCAAAAGCTCAGTGATAAAGGAAATCAGTGTTTATTCAAAAGTTTCACAATTTTGGAATAAAAGCTTTCCATAAGCATCAGTCGCTTAAGCTAAACTCTTTAACTCTACTTACACCTTTTTCCACTTACACTTAAGCCTATCTTTTAAGACTAAAATCTAACTCCTGAGTTCCTTTACTAGTTTTTATCTTCTTTCTATAGGATTAGTTTACAAACTAAAACAACTTAAGATACAAAGGCTACCTGATTTTGGAGGAATGGCAGGCTTCTAGCTCACAGCTCCTCCCCTCTGGAACATCCAAAGAATAACCCTGCCACCTTCTGCCAGGTCAGCCCAGTCCTAGACTGCGCCTGGAGCTTCTTCTCCCACCCAAAATACCGTCCTTTGGGAAATGCAGGCAGCCGTAGCAGGATCACCCTGGCATCCTTGAGGAAGAGAGCCAGAGAGCCAGTGTCTGCTCTCCTTTTATTTTAAATCTTCTGGCCTATAATCCCCTGTGCTCAGGAGGCATTCAGCTGCTCAGCCAGTGCTATCCTAGACTGTTTACCATGGCCTCAGGCAACCACCTCCTCCCCAGTGATCTGATCAGACCTCTCATATCACTAGGACATTCTCAGAGAGCCAAGGCAGTACCACTTAGGCTCTCCTATTGCTTCTTCTATGTTAAGCCCTTCCTTGTTTCACTGTGCCCGTGTTAATAAATGTACCCTCACAGTCACTTGGACTCCTGTTGTGAAATCTTTCCTGCATGAAGCCAAGAGCCTACACAACAGGCTTGCCCTAGGCAGACCTACTAAGGGCCAGGTCCCCTTTGCAGTAATAGACTGACATATTTGTCCAGAGTCACATTACTTGGGTTTAATCTCTTTTTTCTTTTTTTGCCGTATAATAACTATGTAGCTTTTGAAAGCTATTGAACTCCATCAGGTCTCAATATTCTTAAAATTAGCTAGTACTTATCTCATAGGCTCATTGACAAGACTAAGTGAATTTATATATATGACACTTTTAGAATAGTAAGAGGCATATAGAAAAACTAAATATATTAATTCTCTTATTAATTTATAGATTAAAGAGTTGCTATATGATGATATTCCATGTATTAGATAATTCTGATGTTCATTTGCAGAATTCATATTGTTTATATTTAATTTTTTTATTGTATAAGGCTGGGTTGATAAGCAAAGTTATATTTCTGCTTGTTATTTTAATGCTGGGAATTCGGGAGGGGTTTTTTTCAGTTAAATTATAACAATTAATTAAATTTTAAAGGTAACCATCAAATGCCACCTCCTGTAAGAAACGTCCCTCAGCCCTTCTAATTAGAATAAATCTCCTACTCTGTGCCCATATGATTAGTCTAACAATTGGAAAAGTAACAACCAATGGAAATACAATAAAATGGTTTGTCTGTTAAACTATAAACTCATTAGGATTAGTGAATGTGTTCTATTACTTTTTAACTCCCAAGTGTCTCCAAGAGTACCTGTGTGAAAGTGAGTGGAGCTTCTGTGTCATTAATGACTTCCTCTTCTCTGTAAGGGTTGTCAAGTGAGAATTGGGCTCTTCCACGGGATCACAAGAAAAGCATTCCAAGGACCCTCACAGGAGAGACTGCGGTGTGGTAGGATTTATTCGTGTGGAAGTAGTAGCTGCCCCTGGGTTTCCAATGAATGGCCCATCTTCCTCTGTCCCTCCATGGGAAAGGTTCAATCTTTTCCTCAGTAGGGCCAGCACAAAAGCCAGTGTCCAGTTTCTGCTTGGAGCCCACAGGTGGCTCAGTCTGGGTTCAGACTTGTTCCCAACTGCTCCAGTGGCAGAGTTTGTATGGTTGTTGGCCATGTTGCTGCTAAGGCCACGTAGATATGGAGAGAGAATACGTGAGCACACTGGAAACATTACGAGGTGGGAGAGAGAGAGAGAAAGGGAGAGAGCTTCTTTGTTCTCCTGGGATTATATTAGCTTGAGTTTTTGACAGGCCTTTTCAAAAGAACCAACCAACTTCTTTGACTTTTGTCAGCCTTGGATGGGTTAACACCTCCTAGTTAGGCTGACAGGCTTCTACGGTTCAGCACCTCAGCACCGTCTCCTGGCCACCCAACAATCTGGTATTGGAATGGGGGGAGAGAGGAACGGTAATGCCATTGGCAGAGCAATGCTGTGATTTCCTGGGGGGGTGAAGCTGTGGCTTCCTGGCTAAGCAAGCAGGCTTATGCTCCCCAGTTTATTAAGTTCAATGTCTAGTTCCCTTGTACTCCCCTCTTCTAGTTAAATACCGAAAGTAAAAGAAGTATTTCCTCAAAAACGGTGAATTTCCTTCTATGGTGGCTAAGAGCTCAGTGTTTTGATCCAGATACCTGAGTTTATACCTGGCTTTGCCTTTTACTTGCATTTTAAAAACATATTTCTTAACTTCTTTGCACCTCAGTTTCCTTACCTGTAAAATGGGGGAGGATAATGCTTTGAAGATTAATGAGTTGATACACAAAGACCAGTTGGAGCAGTAATCAGAAGAATGAGCTCTAAATAGGCATTTGCTGCATTGCCAAAAGTGTTGGGGAGGGAGTCTTGTCATTGTGTCCCAGATGGCAAGAAACTTAGAGAATCTCAACTGCATGTTTATGTGCCAAATTTTAAGCATTTCTGAACTTCAAGCTTTTCAATCATTTATTATCACCCTAAACAATTGTGTGGTAATGAGTAAATTTCCATCTTTAACTCTTGGCACCGCTCTTAAACAAAGGTAAAATGAGTTCAGAGTTGTCCAGAGAAGTGCAGAAGCTCAGAACTGAACATTGTTTTTAATATATAAGAGTGAGAAAAATATATATAACTTATGCATAAGGAACTTCAATTATGTATTGTATAAAATTAATTATAGAAAAAAGGAGATTAAGAATACTTAATTTTCTGAATTTTTTATATGAAAAAGGTACATATTTTAAGCCAAATTCTCCTCACAAAAAAAAACAGGTAGAAGAATATACCATTACAAACTTCTGATTTTACTAGGACACAGAAAGAGATGGAATTATCATTAACTCTTTAAATGGGATCCATGTTACTAAGAATTCATTACATCTAGCTAAAACCTTCTCTTACAGTAGGACGTTAATTTTACCCTCTGGCGACCCTTCCCAGTTGACCACTCACTGTGAAGAGCCCACGTGGGATTGGGGGAAAATAGCAGAATTTCTTTAGAAACTTATCCAGTATTTTGTTGTACATCTCCTATTTCAGAGATGACTTAAAGGGAAATCAGAAATCTTTTTTTCAAAAATAAGTGATTTTTTAAAATTATAGTTAACATTCAACATATTAGTGTCAGGTGTACAGCATAGTGGTAAGACATTTATGTAACTCATAAAATGTTTCCCCTGATAAGTCTAATACCTACCCGACACCATACATTAATATTGCAATATTAGTGACTGTATTCCCTATGATGTACCTTACATCCCTAGGACTATTTTGTAACTGACAGTCTGTACTTCTTTATCCCTTCACCTTTCCCACTAGCCCCCCAACCATACGGCAACCCTCAGTTTATTCTCTGGATCAGTGAGAGTGTTTGGAAACTCTACCTCTATTGTTTGGACAGATAGAGGAGAACTGACTCTGAGAAACAAATGTATACGCTCTCTGTGGAGAACGGGAAGCTAAGTTTCAGTCTGGCCATCACCCACCTCACAGCAATGCAATGCCAGTGACCATGCCCCTAGCTTTCCCCTCCCACTACCCACCTCTCCCCCTCATGTCAGATGGATGTGTTTGCTCTAAAGGAGAAGACGTAATGCAGGGCCTTGCAGAGGAGACCAAAGACTCTCTGGGTGTCAAAGTGACTCAATGCTAATTAGGTAAAACCAACTCTGAAGGAGAAAGTCCTGATATGTAGCCCTGTGAGGCACAGCTGTGAAGCTGGAGTGACCAGTGTAACAGAAAGGACAGAAAAAACCTTGACTTAGAGCCAATATATGGTCCTGAAATTTTATTTACATATATTCTAGTACTACTTTATATTTTCCAGTACTTTGGCACTATATTTTATTCTGTCCTCACAGTTACCATGTGAATGAGACAGAGCAGGTATTTTTGCGCTCATTTTACAGAAATACAAAGCATTTGCCTAAGGTCACAAACCAAGTAGATGTCCAAAATAAATCCCAATTCTTGGTCTCCTGACTTTCAGTTTAGTGCTTTTGAAAAGCATCAAACTCTTAAGTCATGATGACCTTTCCAGTGATCATTTAAAGATTACACTCATGTGCATACACATATGTATTTGGTATGTATGTATACATGCATGCATATTTTTGTTATAAACTAATGTACACTGATTGCAGAAATATCAACTGGAGAATAAAGAAAAAATGTGTACCATGCACTAGTAATATATGTGAAATCTTGCTGTAAGCAGAGATTCCGCTTGATTTCCTTGGGTTAGTTTGGATGTGTTTGAGAAATGATGCTAAAATTGTTTTTGGATGTTTCACTTTAGAAATATGTGACTACATTTACTTCTTCAAATGTACTTGAGTGTATTCAACTCATCCCCTCAGAGCTGAGCTTTTTCTAAATCGAAAGTGCTTGCTAATCCTCTACCCATACAACCATTGTGCGTGTTTTTCTTCTCATCTTTAATAGAATACCCAGTTTCTGGCTGACCATTTACTACTGCATGAGATCCTATTAAGTCACCTCATGTCCTCCCCAAATTCCCTTCCTTTCTAACCCACTTGCTCCAAGTGAAGTGAAAAAGATGGGAGATGTCAAAAAAGTTCTCCTCCCATTTTAAACTAATTGTGTGACCCTAAGTAAGCCACCTCACTCTTCTGAGCCTTTATAATGAGTTCGATCATCTTTTATAATAAGTTTTGGCTCATATGAGTTTTAAGTTCCTCTCTAGCCCTAACTTTCTTAGATTCCATTGGTAAATAAATTCATGCCAGAGAGTGAATGCCTAATAACTCTGACCTCCTAGGAAAAAGTATACTTCAAATGTGACTTCATGTTAGCACATATTGACTTATTCATAAACTCAATCTTTTCAATATTTATTTAATATATTTATTACATATGTATTATAGGCATGCATGGGTATGGTAAACAATAGTGTCCCTGATATCATGAAGCTTATATTGTAATGAGAATATAGACAAATAAACAGGTAATTGTGAGAAAGTGTGATATTACTTAATTAAAAGTATCGGAATCTGTTAGCCCTGCATGAAGGGGAGCAGTGTGGAGTAGGTCTCATTTGGAGCACTGTTTAATTATAGTTATGAATAAAGCAACTTTTAGGTATTTTATTATATCATTTCAACTTTTATCATTACATTCTAATTATATGGTATTTTATTATATCATTTCAATTTTTATTATTACATTCTAATTATATGGAATAGATTGTAGCACTTACAATTGCTTTTTATTGTTTTCATGCAAGGAATTCACAGACATCAGAAAAAACATTTAAAAATTTTTTAAATCATTATTAAGTTGTTACGTATTGATTTGTCATCCTAATATAGCAAGTAGTATATACACACATACACACACACACACACATATAATATTTATCTTGAAAAAATGTACTGTTGCTTGGTTTACACTAAAAGGGCCATTCTTCAAAAGGGCCTTCTCTGTTGTACCTCTCACATTCTTTAGAAATTTCACGACATCAGTGCCTCCAGTTCCTTTACTTCCCACTTCTGATGGCTCTTCAGAGGTTTCAGGTTTTTTGGACTGCTTGCTTGCAGGAATCAGAATGTACTTAGATACTATTTGCAAATGGTAGCTTCTCAGAGAGACCATAGCTTTCACACAGTCATTATAAGCTGCAGTTAGCCTATCATCATTTGTTGAAAGGACAAACTCACGCACGGAGGGGCCTGACTCCAATGAGTGAAGAAATTTCTGGTGAGCTGGTGGCATGTATGTTCGCATTTCCTGGAGGAATGCAGCAGCTGATGCTGAAAGAACAAGAGAAAGATAAGTTAGTAGGGAGACTGAAGATCCCACACGCAGTCCGGAGAGGAAGGACAGAGTGACGTCAAAGTGGCTAGAAGATCACAGACCAACAGTATAGCTAGCATAGGACAATGACTTTTGAACCATCCTATTAGAAAGCTGTTATTCTTACTAGTCATGGCACTTATTGTGAATGTTTTTAAGTTTGAAAATCAGATGAGCTAAACTCAGTTTTCCATAATAAAGATCTTTGTGCCTCCTTTCTCACTTTCCTACTGTATTTGATCATCTGGAGGAGTTGATGGTGTAGCCAGAGTGTATGTGTATATATATATATATATAATTTGTACTGGATAGATTGTGACATTAAGCCTAAGAGAGTTCTGGGGATCATTTAAAAATAAGTGAATGGACTAAGGAAAAAAAACATATTTTTCCTTAGCTCAATTAAACATAAGTTTAGGGAAAAAGGGAATAGTAGAAAGAAGTTTCTTTAAGCCCTTAAAAGGAGCATAATGAATGTGGCTGATCTTCACCCTTCAGTCTGGGCACTGCCCATGGGTTGACATAACAGCGTGGAAGGCGGGACAGGAGCAGTGTGGATCCTCTTGTTCTTGAAGTTTCCACAGTCCCAACTCCTACTCACAGTCCTGTCTCATCTGCCAGTGACCTTTTCTTCTTAAATCTGATCATACATTTTTAGAACATAGAATGTACATTTTACCACAATCGAGCCTTATAAATACATGTTTAAATGCCAAGATTGAGAGGATGATGAACTTGTGTTTGAGTTTTGCCTTCATTGCTTTCTAGCTGGTTAACAGGCAACAGGTCACTTATCCTCTTTAACTTTCTGCTTCTTTATCTGTGAAATGGGATGATGGCAATACAATCTCTACTGTGCTGAGTCTTCTAAAAGCACCAGGTAAGCTCAGATAAGATTCGGATAAGAAGGTATTTTTTAGATATTAAAAAAATGATTGCATTAACATAATTTTCTACTCACCTTCACCAGCACTCTGCTCAATGCCCAGCAGAACATCGAAGCACTGAAAGATGCTGCTTTGGGCCGCACTACCCCCGGCAAACATTTTTGGGATGTCTGAGACTCCTTCATACAAAAGACCCTCTGGCAGCTGGGAGTTGCCTTTCCAGCTGGGCCAGGAAGGAAAGAAAATGATTATTTGGATTAATTGCCAAATTTCCAGACATAAAATCTTGCAATAGAGGATGAATGGAAGGTGATGTGAGATAGATTTCATTATTCTCCTTTCCACTCATGTTCATGCATAAAAATAACACACAGCATGGTTCTGAGCAAATTTGGTCTATGTCTTCTATGGATAGAGCCTACCTTTGCATTAGCAAAGATCATTCTTCTCTTTTTAAAATGACTAGCTTTTCTGTCCATACCCCACTGTGGGCCTCACCAAGTAATAACAGAGATAATAGTCTATTCTTTTTCTACAACATGCATTTTACATATTAAAAGAAGTATTTTCTAAACATAACGGATAGTGGGGACCATTAGTGGGAACTTGGTGGATTCCTCATGTTAATTGTGGAAGAGAAAAATTCAAACATAAGGCTACATACCCAGACAAGTATATGCGAAGAACGTTGAAAAACAGGTCTGGGTCCACATAATCTGTGAAAAGATTGGATGTGTTTAGTTAGGCTGTGAAGAGAAATCAAGCTAATGTAATCAGCTGACTGCAGATTTCAGCAGAGGCTGCGGGAAAGGCAATCAATCTGATCGTCCGCAGATTGCGTAGAGAAAGCCCCTGAGGACAAGCTCACACTCACTTGCCCTCTCCCAGGTGAGCCCTGCTCATCTCTTATGTCTCCTGAACAGGGTCTACCATAGGGCTGTCCAAGAGCCTGAACCCACTGACTTCTCATGCTCACATTAATTAAACTGTCAACATTTCTTTAAGGTTACTTCATGTGCTTTCTGACATAACAGATAATTTACTTCCACGAAGAAATAAAGGAATCTAAAAATATGGACAAGCAAACAAAAAATCCACAAATGAAAACCCCAGCAGTCCTATGGACCACATTCCTAGGGTCCCCTGCACCTCCAAAGCTTGCTAATGTCTTTGATTTGCAGGTTGGTCTTCTCACCAAGCACCACTCAGCATTAACTCAAATACCAGTGACAGAAGCACATATTTGTTAAGGCCATCCAAGCAGGGCAAATTTCTTCTTGCAAATCTTCCTTATGTCATTTTTTTGGTTATTATTGTTAAGTAGCTGTTAATTTTGCAATACTTTTGAGCTCAATAGTTTTCTTTGTTGTTTCTTCCTTAACTTGTAAAAAAAAAGCAGAATTTGTGTAGAGCTCCTATCAAGCAGGAGCTAATTCTTTCAGAACTTAAACCAGCCTGTACCTTTGGCGAGATTCTCCAAGGTTCTTAATGAGAGGTGAGGATTTTTTTCTTTTTAGTTAAATATATGTAGCTTGAAATTCTGGCTTCAGTATTTTCTACCTCTGTAATCTTAGGTCATTTATCTTACCTCTCTGAATTTAGATTCCCTTCTCTACAAAATGAACATAGTAAAAGCTACCACTTGGAAAGTAAAGATTTAGTGAGATAAAATAGAGCGAAAACACACCCACTCAGTAAGAGTGTTTTTGATTCCATTTTGTCAACAACTCTATATCTTAGATAATCAGAAACATTTGTCTGAGGTCCAGAATGTCGTGTGGCATGCAATACTTGCCATGAATTTGTTCAAACACTTTAAGGGCTCCCTTCAGACAAGAAGTTATATTAAGCAGTGCCTTGTGCAAAGCATCTTGGTCCTGACGTTCTAGTGCTTTGAATATAGAGGGAATGTCCTAAAAAAAATAAAAGAAAGAAAGAAGGGACAACACTTTAGATTTATCTAACAGTGACACAGAATAAAATCCTCCTAAACCTTAATCCCTCAATTAAATTTGGGATTTTTGCTTCTTTCTTGAGCTGAGTTTCTCCAATCATTTAACTAGTTTTCTTATACATTCTTAAGCTTGGATATGTCTTTCTTCATTTATCATTTAGATATAAGTTTATGGAGTTTCATATATTTCTATTTCTACTTCAGATAGGCAAAGCCATTAGATTTATGTCACTACGTTCCGATGCCAGTTTGCACTGAAAATATTCCTCTTATTGAGGTCTCAAATTTGATTGTAAATAAATGCCTCCTCCATTTTATATTTTAGGCAACACATAAAAATAAATTCAATATTTGTTTCTTCTAGATGATCCTTTACCTTCAATTAAATAATCAAAGGCTATATTTATTTACTCAGGATAAAGTCACTTTATGCATTACATAGTTCAGTTACTAAGTGATTGCTCTGCTTATATGAATGAAGATACACATTTTGTGAGGTAAATGGACATACCTTTATTGCTTTAGCAGCTTCTAATTCCACCAAGAGAGAAATGATAAAGAATCCTCTACTGCAGTCCCCACCAGGAAATGAAAACAGAATGTCCATGTTCCTGAGAAAATCAATCAAGAAAGTCAAGAATATAGCAAGAATATTGGGATAGTTGTTGACTAACTACTTCATAGTTTTTAAGCATTTTTACTTGTCCTGTTTTATTTTCAAAATAATCTTGTGAGATAAGTATTACAGGTTTTACTATCTCCATTACATAGAAATCTTCGTTTTGAATCCATTGTTTAAGATCATATAATTAATAAAAAGTTAAACTGAACCCTGACTGGAGTGGCTCAGTGGGGTTGGGCATCATCCTGCAAACTGAAAAGCCACTGGCTCAATTCCTGGGCAGGGCAGGTGCCTGGGTTGCAAGCCAGGTCTCCACTTGGGGCGTGCAAGAGGAAACTGATCCATGTTTCTCTTGCACATCAATGTTTCTGTCCTTCTCTTTCTCCCTCCCATTCTCTCTAAACATAAATAAGTAGAATCTTTAAAAAAATAAATAAAAAGATTAAGAGACTTGAAATGCCATTCTAGAACTTAGAACTAGAAATTCTAAGACCATTTCTGTTACTACATTAATTTTTCACACGCATGTATAGGAGCAGACACACACACATTCATACATACATGTATGCACATTTTCACATGCATGTATAGGAGTAGACACACACGCACATTCATACATACATATATGCACAGCATTTACAGAGATATCTGCGAGGTCTGATTTTACAAGGTGGCCTTTTTGCTTAAATAACGGTATTCATATCTTTATTTTTATCTGTGAATCTAATCCAATTTCTCAGTGGTTTATCTGCTACAGAAAGGAATTGATGGACAAATGCAAAATGTGATTATTGATTGGCAAATTCAAATAATTGATTAGACCCTATTTTCTTTCTCACTGAAGTTTTGCATTGTTGTGAATAGGTCTCAGTATCCGTATCTCTGTGAGCTTCATGATAGTTAAATTCATGGTCTCTGAAGCTAGACCACTTCTGTAACCTATTTCCTGTGTTAATTTGAGCATGATATTCCTTCCCTTTCTGCCTCAGTGTTTCTGTCTATGAAATGAAACCAATGATAGTCTCTCACTTAAAAACATTCTGTAGCTTCCCATTCATTTTAAGATACTGTTTAAAGCCCTTACAATAGCCAAAATTCCTACATAATCTGTTTCAAAAGTTTATTTCTTCATTGCTTTCCCATACTGATACTTTTGTCATTTATCAGCAATACTAGCCTTCCTTTAGTTCTGATAAGGCACCAAGGTTTTTGTCTCTGGCTTTATCTTCACTCTTGCTTTATCCCCCACTATTAACACTCATTATTTTTCTTTCCTCTAGCTAATTTCTGCTTGTTCTTGAGAACTCTGCTTAAATAACTTGTTACAATGGACTTCTCCTTCATTGCTTTCATTTGGCTGGAGTTTCCAGTACTTTATCTTCTTACCCCTTCTTGTAATCATATTGCAATTTACATCATTTTTGTATGCCTCCTTTATTCCCCATTAGTCCAGCTTCATCAGGGCAGGCTGATACCTATGACATTCACCTTTTTTCCCCTACCTCTTAACCTCTTTTTGGTACATAGATCAAGAATAGCAAGGACTGAGTCAAAAGGAACACCTTGATGTTTCTGGCTACTGAGGTCATTAAGTCATAGATACACAGAGGTATGTGCATTTTGTATTTATATCTATTAATTACATTTTTATATGGGCAAGTATTACTTTCATATATATCTATAGCTATAATATTAAACAGTCACACAACAGTCACAGATATAATTAAGGATAGAGGTTGTTTGCCCTTTAAACAATTATTTGAATTAATATTTTTGCTTGAATTCAATTGGCCTTTTAAAAAATGCATTTGATGGATATTGATAAACCTATATTTACTTTGAATAATAAAGAATCTTTAGGCTAAAATAAGAATCAAATACTTACTCATAACTCATGGGCCTTATGAAAGCAGCAATGAAGCAATGGACCAGTTGGAAGAGAGAAAGAAAACCAATGGAAAAAAATCAAATGGTTTCAAGTTATTGTTATTAGATTTAATGTTACTATTATTAAATTTAATACCTTCTATAAACTATTGTTATTAGACTTAATACTACTGTTAAAGGTAAGATGTAGTCAGATAAAAATATACATGTGTTTTATATTTCTCAAGTAGTCATGGCAAGCCCTTAACTTAGGACTTCATAAAGAATATAAAAAATCAACCTGCAGGGAACACACATGAACAGTCAGACTGGTTGCATGAAAAAAAAACTTTCATAGACTAAATCCTTTCATGTGGGGCCATCTCCGTGTCTAGGATATTCTTCTGCAGTTTCACAACCAGACCCAGAAAGTACCATGATTCTCTTATTTCTTCATTGTAGCAGATCCCCTAACTAAATGGTTAGAAATGGCTTAAATTCTGAGCATGCTGCTCCAGAAAACCAGACATTGCTTATCTCTACAGTTGAGGATGATGACTCCTAAAGTCTACTGGATAGTTAAAAACATGTAGGTCTCAGAAACATGTTAATCGAGAATCCAGACACAAAACAATACATATTCTATGATTTCAGCACTATGAAATTCAATAATAGGAAAAACTGACTTTGATGACAAATCAGAAAAACCTGGGGTTAGAGAATGGAATTGAATAGAAAGAAGCGCAAAGAAATTTTCTCAGGTGATAGAAATATTCTGTGTCAGGCTCATCAAATGGAACACTTAGGATTTGTGCATTTCACTGTACGTTAATTATACACTCCTCTCATATATGTACAATAGAATTGTGGTTATAGATACACCAAAGTAACCTTACCCCAAAAACATTGAAGAAAACCGTATACCCAAAAATTAAAACAATGACTATCTCCCTTTTGATTTTTTAAATTTAAAATTTCTAAATAATTTTTTATTGTCGTTCAAATATAATTGTCTGCATTTTCCCCATACCACACCCCTCCCTGCCCCACCCATCTGTGCTCCCTTTTGATTTAAATGCCATGTGCTTGTTTCATTTTTGTTATAATTACTGCTTACATACCCCTTGGGGTCCTTTTTCTTCCAGTTTGCCAAGACACAGTCTGCATAAACCAAAATGGGAGGCAGCCCCAGCTTCTTGGAGAGTTTATAGTAAGGGACAGCAATATTGCTGGGCAGGACCTAATTAAAGCACAATATTTAGTATAAACTTTGAAGTGTCTTACCTTATTTTCTGCTTCCTGGGTATCAAAACATTAACTGCTGTAATGAACCTGTCATTTTCTCTTCCTCATTTTGTAACTTTGTCCCAGTAATTGTTAAATGTTTGGGTTTTGGATTTGCACTGGCATGTACATAATGTAATCATCCAGAAAAGCCAGATGTAGAAGGCAAGAAGTACAAAGGCTACCTCCTTGACCATCTAGTGACCCTGCGAGTTAATTATGTTCATTCATTTATCCTTTCCATGAGCATTGGTCTGGCAACTCCTCTATGCCAGGTACTCCTGATCCACCCACAAAGCAAAGATGAAATTAATCACCTCAAAGAGGTTCAAAGGCATTTGTAATTAAGGCTTTTGGAAGTGATATATACTACAAGCATTAAAAAGATGGCTGCTTTTAGAGCACCATACTGATGGAAACTCTCTACTGAAAGATTTTTTTGGAAAACTTCACCATAGAGTGACATTAATGCTTGGTCTTGATGGCTTACCTTGTTGGCTGAAGGAATTACCCTCATTTTGTATTTCCATGCAAAATACATAAATTGGAATGACACTTGGTTTATCTCGGTTCTTTCACTCACCCTTCCTCAAAAGACTTAATGACTGAGTTTGGCAGTGAAACTACAGCTCTGCCCCTCCCCCCTCCCCCACAACTCTTCTTTCCCTAAGCTTGTTTCTCATAGAATTCTGTCCTGTCTTGGGCCACATAATAACAGACTCCTGTCCCCACGGGGACAATCCTGATGATCAGGTACACTCAGCACATGGTTGCCACATATTCAAGCCACAATCTCCTACTGCTCCATTATTCATAAAGCTGACATTTCATTTTCCACCTGCCTGACTTCATCTAACTATATTTAGTTTATAATGAGATGGTCCCATGTAATAATTACAGTCATGCTTATCATCAGCATCCTATGGTTGGAATATACATATCTAACCACACAAAGGACAGGCATATATGGCCCATCTGGGGCAGTGGGTGGTGGGACTTCAGCGGTAGAGATGGTGTGACTATGGAGCCCACTCCACAGTTCAGTGAAAAGTCCAAGCTCTAGTCCAAGTGGCTTCAGGTTAGTGTGACATACCTGGAGATGATGATTTAACCCAAATACCAAAAGTGTTCGAATAGAATTATTGACTGTTAAAGTGCCATTTAAATGTCTGCTTCCCTTTGCAGACCTGATGCCACTGGGAATCAAAATATTTTTCTTGACAAATGATTTCCACATATTCCAAAAGGAAATGAAATGTGTCTCTCTCTGAATTAGAGAAAATGGTTAATTTCAAATGGTTTAGGAAAAAGAAAGGAAGTGTTCAAACACATCCTAATCTATTATAGACACTCATGCAGCTGCTAAGAAACTCAGTTGCTAATTTTTTTGCCCATTCTCAAGCAAAATGTGCCTTATATTGATGTAGCTTATTTTCATGTATTTATTTTCTCTTTCATATGATTTCACTCACATCTTTTAAATCTTTACATATATTGTTTTCACTGCCAGCTTCTACAATTTTTTCAAAGTGATATGGCCATACAAAAACTGGATAAATTAAAAAACACATTCCTATGTTTTATTGTATAATTCTGATCTCCAGCCTGGTAAATTTATTATCTTTTGATTCTGCCATGTGCATTCTAGTCTCCCAAGTTTTTTGCTCATCTTCTCTCTCTTTCTTTTCTGCTCCCCTCCCCTTTGGATAAGCTTTACCAATCTTCCAAGAACTAATTCAAATTTCACTTCTCTCTTGAAGTATTTCATGAGCATATCAACTACTGGTTAACTCCTCTGGACTGCAACACTTCTCTACCTAGAATATGCTTCCCTGTATTACTGATGCTGCATTATGGGTGTTCTTTTTGTATACAATACCTATGCATTTAGCTAGACTCAGATTCCACCAACTCTAGTGAGAGACTAGGTTGTAAAACTAGAGCAAATCTTAAACATTTTGTGTCATCACAAAACAAGATGCAGCAGTTTCATGATTTTTAAGGAAGTGCAAGGTGTTCCATGATTGTGCGAAACAACTTTTTCCTCTTTTCTGCTTATCAGGGGATGACTCATCACATAGGTGGACTGTATCAGCTATTCTATCTTTAAACAGGATGTGGGAAGAAAAAACAAAGCTGAGCTACCCATTACCCTTTTGTCAACAAAAGGAAAACTCACTGCATGGAAGAAGGTGTCTGGAATCTCTTATCTCTCTGTGATTTAAAGGTTAGCTATTACAGTCTAAGTAGGTTTTATGTGATTAATGATGCCAGATAAAATACAAGATAATATTATTTAAAATCTAAAGTTACTTTTGATGAGGGTAGAGTAAAATTAATATATAATGTATTCTTCTATCGTGACAGATATAAGCTAGCATTTTAGCATTAACTAAGAAGAGCTATATAATGTTTATATCTCCCCAAAGTCATAGTTTTCATATTCAAATATGTTGATAGTAGTATTATTTTATACTAGTAAAACACTAAAAACAAGTAAAGTATTTTTCAACTCCAGATTGAATAAAGTTCTGAAACTCAATGAAAAATTATAAAGTGATTTCAAATGAGTAGGATGATTGTACAGTAAAAAAAAAATGCTTACAAGTGAAAAAAAACAGGATATATATGTACTTGCAGAAAATGGAACAACTGTGTTATATTAGTGAAAGACTAAGCATTCAATAATGATCATAGTTGACATTGTAAAGTCAGTGAATGATTTTCTCTTTTTTTCCTATTTTTCAAGCTTCACAAAATACAGTTACAATAGTAGTTTCAGAATATTTTTATGTTAAATATAAACTGGATGTAAACCTATCATGTAGCATAAAAAATATTAGAAAATCTCCAGACCTTACGGACATCTCCATCACCTTGGTCCCACACATATGCCATGGTGATATACCCCAGGACCAGATGTGCGAGGCGCTGCAGCTTGTGTCCTGGGAGGTCATCGATGCTGAACATGGGTAACTGAGAACAAATGGAGAGGTTGGCTCGCATCAATAGGAGTGACATTATAGCCTCAAAATCAAATTAAAACTGTTAAGAAGTTAAAATAGAAGAAGACCAATGTAATAGTTGTTCAAACCTTCTCTACTTCTGCACGAAGTTCACCATTCTTAATCAGGACAGGAAGGTTTTTAGCGATGGAAATCCAGGCATCATATGGGTGAGGCAGTTCCTCCTTAAAAAAAAAAGAACTTTTTTTTTACCGGTGGAAGTTATTGTAAAAAAGTTTTGTCTCCCACTGGTAGCCTATCTGTGCCATGAAGCCCCAACACACACTTACCAGTCTAGCTCTATCGACACCTGTCATGGATTGTCATCTGCACACTCAGGGCTCAAGACCTTCTCTGCATTCCTCCTCTTCTCCTGAGTACTGTCATCTGCCTCTTTTTCAAAGGTCACCTCCAAAGTTCCACTAACATTCTCCTAACTACTGCAGTTTACACCCATGTTCCCAACTATGAAGCCTACGTATTATATACCTTTTCCTATTGTTAAGTAATGTATTCATTAACTGCTACTTTTTTTCTTCTCAGCTAGGTTTGAAGTCTTTTTGAATGGAATAAAAATGAGATTTATTAAATGTCAGTAGTACACTAGATACTTCACTCAGTAATTTCTCATTTAATTATTGCAGTGACCAAAAAAGTTGATTGTTGTTTCTATGTCATAAATATGGTAAGTGAGGCTTGGACAGTTTACTAACTTGTTTTGTATAAATAATTTATTGTGATTCAAACATGTTTCCAATTTTCAACAACCCATGCTCTTTTTACATCTTACTACTCAATGGTAAGGATTTCATCATGCTGTTAATTCTATTTTCCTTATAGCACTGGCACAGCACCAGACACGGAAGAAATTCTGTACGTACACATGTTGATTTCTTGCTTTGGTTTCACTGTAGGTTTATTTTTGCCCAATAAGATTAAACAAAATCCAAATAAAAGTGTCTCCCTGGATCTTAGCCTATTTATAACCTCATTTGAAGGGAATATATACAAGCAAGAGACCTAGGAAACACTCGAAAATAAGATTCAGATCCCTGGACAACTCCCTGCCTGCTCTGATTCTAGCCCTCCTCCGTTAAGCTACGTCCAGACATGCCCTTGGTGCCACCGATGCTGACCGATGGGGGTGGAGTACAAGCCAAGTGATTAAGTGAACCAACATGGGTGAACTTCACAATATTATAAACACGTTATGAAACAAGAAGATAAATGTACTATAAAATTCAAACATTTTTGGATGCTGCAGTTAATTGGCCAGTCTTAATCTGTTAAAAGCAGACTTTTAGCAACAAAATATCTGGCAACATATTTACTAGAGCACCACCTTTTTTTGTCTACTCTGAATTCTTCTCCCTCATCGTACAAATGCTGTGCTCTAGTGTTTTCAGTTTTCGTACATATCTTTTGTCATGTGTTTTATTGTGTTGCAAACCAAATTATTGGTTGTTATTTTCCCCCAAAGAACAGAAATTCAATTTCTGCTATGTATCAGGATTAGTGTCCTTTTAGACAGAAATTTCAGCAAATGTAAAATTCAATTAATAGTATACTTCTGATCCAGAGGATGCCTAACCGGTACAATCTAAATTAATGAAGAATAACAAGAGAACCATTCAACCTCTGCTAGATTAGAGAATGTACTTCGTATCTACATGGAATTAGAAGGCATACTATTTTCCTTTGAAATAGAAAGCTGATAGATGATAAGGAACGGAATGATTTTTGAGCTTATAATGTGCAGGAGAGACCTTCAGTGAAGACCATAACATAAGCCTTACTTTGTGTGTGTTTCACAACACTGAATCTAACTTCCTAAGCATCTCAAGGAGCAGCATTGTTTTTCAAGTAGCTCTGGAAGAGGTTTTCGTTTTTGTTCTATTTAATTATTTTTCAAGTACAGTTTTCTGTCTATTTCTCCCATCCCAGCCCACCCCACCCTGTGCTCCCCACCTCCCTCCCATTTCTACCCCCCTTAGTTATTGTCCCTGTGTCCTTTATATTTGTTCCTCTAAATCCCTCCCCTTTTTCCCCCTTAAATTCCCTCCCCTCTCCCCTCTGGTTGCTGTCCCCTGTTCTCTATTTCAGTGTCTTTGTTTTGTTTTTTTTCTGCTTGCTTGTCTGTTTTGTTGTTTAGCTTCCTGTTAAAGGTGAGATCATATGGTATTTGTCTTTCAACACCTGATTTATTTCACTCAGCATAATGCTTGGTTTTTATTTCCCCCCATTTTTTAAATTGTTGACACTATTGCAGATGTCACCTGTCTCCTGGGCCCCTTTGCCCACTTCCACCCAGCCTCCTGCCCCTCTCCCCTGCCTGTCACCACACTATCCTCTGTGTTTGCCTTTGGGGTTTTGCTTTAACCCTTGGAATCTGTCCTAGATGTCTCCATGATTACGATTGTTTCATTTTTTAAAGAAAACTGACTCTTTGGGGGCAAAAACTAAATATGGGTTTTGTAATTTCTGAAAAAGATTTTTTTAAATTGTACCATTGATAAGCACATCCTTCACACAAGCCAATCCTGGTAATCGTGTGTTTTTGTATGAAGAGGGAGCAAATATAAAGTAAGCCAGGTGTTTTTAACAATAAAATTAAACCCTATACTTCATATCATTCAATTAACTTAATAATTTGAATTGGGAGGAAGAATTTGCTGTAGATTTGCTACTATTACAAGATATTTTCAGTGTTTTTTTCCCTTTCCCTTTCCTTCTTTTCTCTTTCAATCTCTCTCTCTTGCTTCTTTCTTCTTCCTTTCTTCCTTCCTCCTTTCCTTTCATCTTCACCTGATGATATGTTCATGATTTTAGAGAGAAAGCAAGGAAAAGCAAAAGAGAGTCAGAGAGACATTGATATGATAGAGAAACACTAAACGTTATTTCTAAGTATAGTCAGATTGGCATCTCTGACGAAAAATATATTTGCTGCATTTAAAGGTACTTTCTGTAGTGTGGACTCTGCTTGAGTCACAACCACATAGACTTATATTGTTACACACTATTGTCCCAACATATATCTTGTTCCTGGAAATAGTCTCCTGGAATTTCACTGTTTTGTTAATTCCCAGGGGTGGGACAGGGAAGCACGCCCGTGACCTCTCGTTGTAAGAGACCCAGCACAGTGTCGGTGTTTTAAGATCATGGATTATGGAGCCCAACTGATTAGGCTTCCTATCCTGCTTCTGCTGCTTCTGGTTATGTGAGTTAGAAGAGTCACTTAAAATGCTGCACAGCTTACATTGCTCATCAGAAAAACAAGATTAGTAACATACATACTTTTTAGGGTGGTGGTGAAGATGGAAAAGTAAGTATCTGTAATTTGATTCAAAATGCTCTATAAGTGTTAGATAATTACAATGTTGATGATACCAAGATAGCTTTAATGGCGTTTTTTAGAAGATAAATAAGGGAAATGTAGTTGTTAAGGCAAACAGCACCTGCATTTCACTTGGTAAAGAAAACTTGTAAAAAAAATAAGAGGTACTTCAGACTCCCTTGAATCTTATGCTCAGTAACAATAAGCAATATTAATACAACGTACTTGCTAGATGTGCCATCTCAAAAACCTAACCAAAGTACAAACAGATACTTCATATAGTTTAAGGTATACTGGTCAAAAAAAGGGACTCTTTCGACTCACAGATCAGTTATTCCTGTCTTTCCCCCCCCTCAAAATGTCCTCAGAAAACACAACTGTATCAAACCAAGATACTTCTATTGTTTCCTTATCTCATTAATCTCTATATCTGGGAAAATAGGTAATACATCTCAGACTAAATTTCTAGGTAGAAAATTGTAAGATTGTTAAGTGAGACCCATTTATTAAAACTCTGCCTTCAGTTTGGCACACTTCCCCCCTTTGTTCAGTAGAAATTTCTAACCCCTCTTTTTTTTTCCAATAGAAATTAGCTTGTCCAGGTAAGTAAAAATAAGAAAAAATGTTACCATAATGTAGTGCCCTCTCTTACCAGTGGATTGGGCAGAGCAAAGCCCACTTGTTCATCGATATGGTATTCTTTGCTGATTTCTGAGAAAGTTTCCATAGGAGATGCTTTGTGTGCCATTCTCTCAGCCCGGTCGTCTGACTCTCCTCTCTGAGCATCTATTTATTCTCTGAGGTTGCCATAGCTGATGACCACAACTTATCACGTAGGCAGTAAGAAGTACTTCCACTTTCTGAAGAGCAGTTTCATTTTCCAATTTCTTTATTTGTAATTTGATAAGTAATAAAACCATTATTCATCACATAAAAATCTAAAAGTTTGCATCCCATATCAAGTCTTTATCACTAGGAACATCATTTGTTCAGAGGGCGGGTCGGAAAGGACATAATTGGACTAACACATGAAAATAGGTGACCAGAAAAGAAGGTTTTTATTTTATGGGAACTTTTAAAACTGATTTAAATTGATGAATTTGACCAAGGCTCAAGTCCTAAACTATCATTTAGTTATTACTGCCATTGGCTTTCTTTTAACCTAGTGGGGTTCTTTGAACATATTAGTGTCTTGTTTCAGCAGCCATGAAATATAACTCACGATACACTGAAATCTTAGTCAATGACTCCGAAGTAGAAAAAAAAGTAACACGTGAAAAATTTTAAAAGATAGTACCTCGTCACCTCCCATTTTTCTTACACATTCTTTCATCTGTGTTCACAATCGTAGAGATTTTCCTTCTCCATAGTCCTAGTAAGTCATTTTAAGAAAGACTTTTCTACATCTGTACTATTTCTGACTGCTAGGGACTAATGAAGCCACAGACTTTCACAGTTGAGGACTTTGTAATATGTTAAAAGTTGATCCCTGGCTGTTGTGGCTAGGTGGATTGAGCACCAACCTGCAAACCAAAAGACTGCTGGTTGAATTCCCAGTCAGGGCACATGCCTGGGTTGCAAACCAGGTTCCCAGTTGGGGGCATGTGAAAGTCAGCTGATTGACATATCTCTCGCAAATCGATGTTTTCCTTTCTCCCTCCCTTCCTGTCTCTAAAAATAAATAAATACTTTTTAAAAAGTTGAATAGAAGGATAAACTACCTTAAAAATGTTTTTTCAAAATGCAAATTAAGACTGAATTGGGTAAATGTTTTCACAGTGTTTGCAGGTTGATGGACACATCACAAACAATAACAATGGCCATATTGTTTCCTTTGATGACCAAAACAGGAAGAGAGATATTATTCAGCACTCTAAGAGCCAATGCAGTTTTGTCATCCAACTTCTTGGTACTTGAATTACATTTTAATAGTACTTGACTGGGACAACATTCAAGAATAGTTTTCACAATGTTCTTCATGATTACTTTATGGATTTTATTGGAAAGATGTAATCATATGAGAATATATTTCTTTTATAATAAAGGAAAGAAAAACTGAAAAAAAATTATACAGAAAAGGAACACAATGACTCAGCTTCCACAAAATGAGTGATTCATGAGGGTGATATTGTTGAAACCAGTTCCAATAAAAACAAACAAAAAGTGTTGGTTTACCACATATATGGAAAACAAAAATCAACAAAATATTGAGAACTAGAAAATGTGTGCTTATTCCTGTTTTTTTTTTTTTTGTATTCCTTGTTCCTGAATCTTTTCATGGGTGAGTCAAATAGAGGCGTGTAAATAGCTTTTATATAATTACCTTGGAAAAATGTCTGACTATTGATTTTTTAGTCAGACATTTAGTCAGCCAAATAAACATGGCTGAAAACATTTTTCTTGACTCATCCAACTACTTACTAAATCTATTCTACATTTGACTGAAGAAGCAATAATACTTTTCTACTTTTGTATCAACATTTTAACTACTTCAAACTTCAAAATCTTTTGTATTTCTGAAATACATTTTCAATTGATCCTCTGTCTTCATTCCTTTTAATTTTTATTCAGCAATAAATAAATCCAGTCATACAAAATTGTACATCAGTACAGAAAGCTAAAATTCTGAGTTAACACCATCTTTAAGAACAATGAAACAGGAAAATATGCCTGAGCTTATAAGAGTCAAGAATGTTAGAGAAATTACAAAGAGAAGAGAAACAAAAAATGGTATTCCCTACTTCTTCTATGAATTGACTTAAGTTCTGGACTCTATAGTGAGCTGTGCACACACAGAACAGATCAAGAAGAATATAGTAAACTCTTTAAGAACTGAACTACAATAGAAATGACTACCCAAATCCCAGATAAACTTGAGTGGTATATGCACCCAGCAAATGTAAGAGGCATAGAACAGCATTTGAACTGACATTGAAACTACAAAATTGATGAGGCAGAACTGGTGATCAGAATCTAACCAGCACAATTGCATGCTAAAACAAACAAACAAACAAAAAATTCAACATTCTTCAGAGGATTCTAGAGAATCTACAGCCTCACATTATTGTATTATAATCCAAAATTTCATAACACTCAAAATGCCAGGAAAATATGACCAAAGTTTAATGGAAAAGAAAATCAACAGATTCCAGTCCTGATAGGATGCATATTATAAATATCTGGGAGGTAAATGTGAACATCCTTTAAATAAATGAAAAAATATATCATTTCAGTTGAGAAACTAAAAGTGTGATTCAAATGCAAAATTACAATGTGTAGTATAAAACAAATACACACTGTTTAACAACTAATGGGTCAAAGAAAAAACCGAAAGAGAAATATAAAAAAGAACCATGAGAAAAACAAAAAAATGAAAATGCAAGATAACAAAGTTTACGAGGTGCAGTAAAAGTAGTTCTCTAGAAGGAAGTTCAAAGTGATAAATGCCTACACCAAGAAACAAGAGAAACCTGAAATAACTATATATATATATATCTTTAAAAGCTAGAAAAAGAAGAACAAATGAAGCCCAAAGTTAGTAGAAGTAAGGAAATAACAAAAATCAGAGAAGAAATAAATAAAATAGGGATAGAAAGACAATAGAGAAATCAATAAAAGAGCTAGTTCTTTGAAAAGATAAATAAAATTGACAAACTTTATCTAGATTCACTAAAAACAGAAAATTAAAATAAATAAAATCTTAAATAAAAAAGGAAATGCTACAACTGATACCACCGACAAACTAAGGATCATAAGAGAGTACTACGAGAGCACACCAATGAATCTGAAAACCTAGACGAAATGAAAGAAGATTCAGCCTAGAAGTTGCACACCTAGAAAGTGTTTCGTTTGGGGTTAAAATTCAATCCTGTCAATTTGTTACTTAAAATGTTTGGTTGGAAGTAAAAGAAACAAGAAGAGGGAAGTTATTTTCACAAAGAGGTATTTTGTGGAACCCAAGAGGAGATTCACCAGGAACTGGAACAGGAATGGGGGTGGTGCAAGGAACTAAAACCACTTTTTCTTCCAACCCTCTGTGGTCATGGGGTCTCTTACATGTACTTCTTTCTATGTCACGTCCCTGTAGCTACATCACTTTCATATAAGTGGCCAGCACAGTCTGACCATCAGTTATGAATCTTAAATTTTAAATTTCCAGGAGAGAGGGATTTGATTGGCTAGCTAGAGTTAGGACCACAGAGGTGCAGGACCTTTACTGTGGGTGAGTTCTAGATCTCACCCTTCCACACACTCAGGATCTTTATTCTATCAATTACTTCTTCTCACTCTTACATGTTCAACTCATCCTCTTTGCTGGTTTCATTATATAAGTGTTCAAATATGACCATATCCCTCCCAAGTCACAGAGACAAAATATACAGCACAAGGAATATAATCAATAAAACTATAACTTTGTACAGTGACAGATGGTTACTAGACCTATTGTGGTAGTCACATTGTAAGATATATAAATATTTCATCACTATGTTGTACATCTGAAACTAACATGGTATTGTATGTCAACTATACTTTAATTAAAAAATAAAATCTTCTTGCCCAGGCTGGTGTAGCTCAGTGGATTGAGCACAGGCTAGGAACCAAAGGGTGGCCAATTCGATTCCTAGTCAGGGCACATGCTTGGGTTGTGGGCCAGGTCCCCAGTATGGGGCATGTCAGAGGCAACCACACATTGATATTTCTTTATCTTTCTCTCTCTTGAAAAATAAATAAATAAAATCTTAAAAAAAAAAAAAAAAAAAAACCCTGGGCGGTCCCACATTCACACACAGATAAACCAGGCAAAGCAGAGTGAGACAGACCACACAACCCAGGGTCCCATCATGGGAAAATAAAGCCTCAAACCACTGATTGAAAACACCTGTGGGGATTGAGGTGCCAGGAGAGACTCCCAGCTTCACAAGAAAGTTTGTTGGAGAGATCCACAGGATCCCAGGACATACACAAACCCACCCACATGGGAATCAGCACCAGAAGGGCCCAATTTGCTTGAGGGAAGGAGCGGAAGGGACTGAAATCCAAGAGAGAGTGGAGCAAGAGCCTTGTTCCCTCTCTGATTTTCCCCCCACATAGAGCATCATAACCCAGTGACTGGGTTGCCCCACCCTGGTGAACACCTAAGGCCCCGCCCTCGCTATGTAACAGGCATGTCAAGACAAAAAAAATGTCCCAAATTAAAGAACAGATCAAAGCTCCAGAAAAAATACAACTAAACGATGAAGAGACAGCCAACCTATCAAATGCACAGTTCAAAGCACTGGTAATCAGGATGCTCACAGAATTGGTTGAATGTGGTCACAAATTATATGAAAAAATGAAGGCTACACTAAGTGAAATAAAGGAAAATGCACAGGGAACCAATCGTGATGAGAAGGAAACTGGAACTCAAATCGATGGATTGGACCAGAAGAAAGAAAGAAACATCCAATCAGAAAAGAAGGAAGAAACAAGAATTCCAAAAAGTGAGGAGAGACTTAGGAACCTCCAGGACATCTTTAAACATTCCAACATCCAAATTATAGGGGTACCAGAAGGAGAAGATGAAGAGCAACAAGTGGAAAACTTATTTGAACAAATTAATAAAAGAGAACTTCCCCATTCTGGCTAAGGAAATAGACTTTCAGGAAATCCAGGAAGCTCAGAGAGTCCCAAAGAAGTTGGACCCAAGGATGAACACACCAAGGCACATCATAATTACATTAGCCAAGATTAAAATGAAGGAGAGAGTTCTAGAAGCAGCAAGAGATAAGGGGACAG